GCCCCCGGCCCACGATGGCGTCGGATTGCCCGCACTTCTACACCGTGAGCGGGCCGGTGAAACGGGAGCCCTGAGCTGCGGTCTGGCGTATCGCCGGCAACACCGTCTCCGCGAGAATCCTCACCCACCCCTCCCCCCTCTCCCACCCCTCCACTCTCTCTCTCTCCCCCTGTCCGACCGTATACCCCATCTATTTCGCTGCCGTCCCTTTTCCCTCCCTTCTCTCTCTCTCTCTCTCTCTCTCTCTCTCTCTCTCTCTCTCTCCACGTGTGGGGTGCCGGTTCGCTCAGTTTCACATATACGTGCAGATGTCGCCGATCAGTGCCGCCCACGCGCACATATTTTTCCGGCGTGTTTCAGGGAAGGCCCCCTAGCGCCAGCGCAGCCGGCGGTGACTTCAAACACTTGTCTGTTAACCCGGTTGTGGGGTGGGCCGGGGCGGGCGGGGACAGTCCGTGTTGCCGTTCAGCTCCATTCAGTTTTTCGAAGAATGAACGCATAGCAAAGCAGCTTCTTCTACGCCGGAGGTAATCTGCCCCATGGGAAAAGCGGGCAAAGAGGGATGATGGCCGTTGTCTTTATTCATACTTTAATTATCCAATTTGATATTTTGATTCCTACTTAAATGATTTTGGGTCCCTGTGTGTTTTTCGATTATTGTTCACGACGCTTTGCCGAGTTTCCGTTAGGTATTTACCTGGTGTCCGTCCTAGACTACACTACCCGCCCTTACCTAGCCGGCTCGGCCTCGCGTTGTCCTTGAGGCGGTCGGCTCGGCCTAGGCGGCGGCCTAGGCGAGGAGGTGAAGGCCTTCCTTGGAGAGCTCGTCCAATATTTGGAGACTGTGGCAAACACACCGACGTCGCGTCGCCACATTCCGAAAAAGAGCGGCCGAAGCACACGCGCACACTCACACACAGAGACAGCGAGAGAGAGAGAGAGAGAGCGGAGGGGGAGGGAGGGGGCACAGGAGACGCACACACACACAGAGCATCGCGCGCGTGTGTGTGTGTGAGGGAGCGTGACAGAGGCTGGCGGCATGAATGAGTGCACCACTCAATGAGTTTGTTCAGGATGAATGGCAGGGTGGTAGTGGAAGAGGGGGGGGGGGGGGCTGCAGTCCGACTTGTTTGGGGCGCGTAATACACCGCTAATTAGGCTTAGCTGAGTGTCGGTGTTTTGGGTAAAATGGGGGCGGGACGGAGAGGGACTTATTTCTCTTGAACTCAATGCCATTTGCTTATTATTTTGCAGTACTCCCGTGCCAAACCCTTAGTAGTGTAATTTACCGTTTCCTCTTATTCATTTTTTGCAGTGGCGCCGCCGGATGTCGGATGCGGGCTGCAGGAGCTGGCAGGTCAGCATACGCGGAGGTCAGTCACTGCGTGTGACAGAATGCAGCGTCAGACATTGTGTGAGTGCGTTCCATCCATATGTACTGCTGTCAATCATTTAGAATTCATTCTAAATTCCATAATATCTCAACCAAATATCATGGTTTGAGATAACAGCGAGGAGGTGCCTTATTTGGTCACTTTGCTATAAACTTACTTTATGACTGATAGTCACGCTTTACTAATTTTTCTATGATTGTTCTCTTTTTGCCTCCCTTTCTCATCGCGTGGCGCCGCCATTAATTATATCATTCGGCCTATGATTGACCACTCGGCATGAGCAGCGAGTCCAACAAAGCGCCAATAGGTTTCGTTTTTTATTTTTTTTAAATAAAAGTAAAAAAAATTCGTTTTTTTTAAACTTGTTAAAAAAATTCGTTTTTTTTAAACTTGTTAAAAAAGTTTCCTTCTCCACAAAAAAAAAATATTTAAAAAAATCATTTTGTTTTATTGGATTGAAAGTCATAGACAACGGTCCCGGGCGGATGCGTGTAAAGCTAGCGGGAGTATATTGCCGGTGCATAATGCATCACGCACTTGTTTTTCTTTTTTCTTCCGCTTCATTTGACATGCGTGTCCTTCGGGGTCCCAGTTATGTTGTCCTTCCAGTACACAGTTGCAACCACTAAGTGCAGTCGTCCTTGTCCCTTTATTTGATATAAATTTTGCTGAAAATGAATGCAACAAAATATGTTTTTTCCTTATTTACTGCCAATTTTGTTTGTTTTTCAACCAGGGTCAGGTCAAGGGCACGGAAACAAAAGACTCAACTCGAGCTGGTAAAACAAGTAGGATATCTAGCCTTTAAGGGCACTAAAGCGCCAAAGGCTTTGACAGTTCGTTTTTTTGAAATATTTTTCATTTTTCCCTTTAGAATGAAAACGGATTCTGAAAACTATTCCTAATTTCTTATTTGCAAACATATATAAATTTCTATCATCAATTTTTAAAGATAATGAAGATAATGAAAAGTGTTTTAAAAGGTCTAATCGGTTTAGGTGATAATTATGTAGTGTAGACTTTGCATGACCTGTTCGGCCCTGCATTCTAGCGGCGGGCAGGGTAGGGAAGGGTAGGAGACCTCAACGCAAGGATCACCCGCAGAACAAGCCACGTGACGCACCCGTCGCTCTCTCTCTCTCTCTCTCTCTCTCTCTCTCTCTCTCTCTCTCTCTCTCTCTCTCTCTCTCTCATTGATGCACACTGCATCCATGCTTCATACCACCACCATCACCCATTCATTTCACTTCCAATTTCCTGCCTTTTTTTACTCCCTCGCCCTCTCTCTTTCTCTGTCCGTCCTTGTCGCCGTCTCTCTCTTGTCCTTGTCCCTCCTTAATGCGAGTACAGGGCCGTGCAGCGGACATTCCATTCAGCGGCGGTGAGTCCAATTTCATTGTTTCGACGCGGTGTTTTGATGTTTGTAGCAACGCTGTGTGCGTGTGTGTGTGTGTCGGGGTCATTCAGCATCACACGGAATGCACATGGGGTGCGTTCAATTACAGTACCGCTGCAGTCGGTGGCTGCTCTCATGTAAATGACCGACTTAGAGCGAGAAGGAATGTCGCTGAAAACAACACAAGGAATTTAATCTAATCTCGGACAAAAACGCCCCGGATTCTTCCACTCACCGGCGGCCCCAGCGCGGCCCTCAATTGTATGTATGGTGGCCCTTGATGGTTTGATACCGGTGGGTGGCGGCCGAAAGCGGCGCAACTCGCGGCGCCCAACGTTTGAGTTACGTTGACGTGCGGGTCTGGGTGGGCCACCACCGTCAAGAAGTGCACCATCACGGAGGAATCCTAGTTAGCTGCAACAACAAACGCATTCGCCCGCAGTTTCCTGCTTTTATTGTTACAAGAAGTGACTTTGGCCTTGTGACGCGGAGGTAGGTCAGCCTTTTACGAAAGATAGAGTAGGGAATGTCACCGTTTTGAGTTCAAGTAAACGTTTCATGTCTATCTACAAACTACTTTAAAATATAAAAGAAATTTAACTATTATATTACCGAAACTCCTAATGCGAGTGGTCGTTTTGTTAACTCTCATTTGCCTAGTACGAAGGAGTTTTACATATTATTTGTATATTACAGAGGGTGGTCCGTCAGCGCCTTTCTTTCTTCTATACCGGAGGCATGCGTGCGGCGGGCTTGCCTATCGTCGCCCAGTCGCCTCAAAGCGCCGTAGGAGTATGCAATGCAACCCGTTCGAATGCCTTCATTCTGTACAGTTTAACTAGAAGAAAGAATGGCGCTGACCGACCAGTAATATTGTAATATTGGCGTAATAGAACTATAATATTTCTTTAATGTCGCCAATTAAAAATGTGAATTACTGATTAAATATCATGTGGTATGAGTAATATTGATGTTATATCGGTAATATCAGCCCAGTGTTCGAGGGAATTTAGGGGTTGAGGGTTGAGTACCCCTAAACCTGATTCTGATAAATACCACACGTTTCGCCTTTCTTGCGCTGCCGGCTGTAACAACGCCTAAGTCTGCCACTTTCTCTGCGTTTCCTTGGTCAGTCACACCTTGAGGCACGTTCGTTGCTGTTCCGCGGTTCCGCCAGTTCACAACATCCCAAGCCGTACTTGTCAATCCGAGTTCTAACTTAGTGTATGTCGTGGCACGACTTGTTATTCATCGTCCAGTTCCGTCCTCTCAGTACGCACCACCACCGCTGGAGCCAGCTCCTGGAGGCGCTGCGCTGCAGGCTCTGGGGATGGGGATGAGCAAACGGAAGTCGTGATTTGGTCCTTCTTTGAAACCATACCGGCAATGGAGTGCAATCGACACTTGTTTGCCCTCCGCTTCCGGGCACCCCTGGGCAGCACATGGGCCAGTATCTCCCCCCCTCCCCCCCCTCTCTCTCTCTCACTCACTCTCTCTCATTCCAATCATCCCCTGCTCCCTCTCCTCGCCATAAAGACACATTCAACAGAAAAGATGTCCGACTTTACTGGGAATAATGCACCGGGTCGACCGGCTCCATCAGGAAGTCAACTAACTTCTTGTAAGGGGCTGACAAACTGGTACAGTCAACTTAAGTGAAGTAGCAATTACTTGTAAATGCGCTCTTGTCGGAGGCACAGCGTATCGGATGATTCGGTGGCGCTACCCGGCCCGGCGGAAGGGGGTAGTTGGATTGAAATTGAGGGTTGCATCGGCTGACAAGACGCGATACGAAATGAGTTATGTGACGGGCTGGTCCAGGACTTCTCGTCGGCGGCAGTGCGGCAGCCTGCAGAGTTCCAGGAAAGCTTTAGAGAACTCACGTCGCGAGGCCGACAGAGTGAAATTCTAACTCTCCACCGGCCAGACAAAAAAATTGTGGCGTACAAATTCGGCCGCTTCAAACGTAGCGCACTCCTCGGTGCTTTTACCCATTTCAGAGAGTTCCATGAAATGAGGGGCGGGTCCACATCTTGTCCGTATCGTGAGGTTGTCGAACCTTGTAGGTGTATTTATAGGAATTTAATGGGATATTAAGTGCATCGCATTTGCGGAAAATGGCCCTCGATGAATTTGGCGCTGCGTCGGCGTGCTGCACCGGGACAGGGAAGATGGTCCTGCTTTCCTGGAATTCTCTAATTATAGACCTCGCCCGACGGGATAGAGATCCAAATAGATAGGATAGGAGGCCTCGGCCTGGGCTGGGCCCTGCACTGCCTCGGCCTCGGCGGCTCTCATGGTGGTCGCGGCCAGCGAAGTCCGAATCAAGATGGGGAAGAGTTTCATATTCCAGGAAAGATTAAACTTTTTGAGAACATGTACCGTTTTGGTCCATATATTTTTGTTGGATTATACCTGAGTGACGGTGGTCGTGTTGTCGAAAGAGAGACCACTTGTGCACTGCAGGCAGGACTGCGCTAGTTCGCCGAAGTTATCATTGTGTTGCTGTCCCGGCACCCTATTCGTCCCCAAGGACAGGCTCTCTGCGGGGCGGTGTGGCGCTACGACTAATTACACTCTGCAGAAAACGGCGAAGGTCCCTCTTCTCTGAACTATTATTTCGAGTAAAACGGCAATAATAACTTAAGAAAAACACAATTTAGTGGCTTTGTTTTGTATCCTTTGCCGTTGCTTAATTATGCATCCAAAAGTGGTAGCGGTCGGTAAGGGTTCTCGGTGTGAATCACCCCAACCCTTCGGGAATCAGAAACTTTAAATGATCTGGACCTCCCTGCGCAGGCAGCCCCTGCGGCGGCAAGGCAGCAGCAGATCTCTCAGACGCTGATAACATCAAGGAAATGCAAACAGACAGCTCGGGAGTCCCATAGATTTTCGCTCCCTTTAAATTTAGTACCATCAGAAAAGCACCTGGTGCTTTATCCGCAAAAAAAGTGACAAATACCTGTACGCTTATTTGTTTGCGGACGCGCGCTGGCGTTCATAATTTGGTGCAAGTGTAGTATACGCTTACGTTATAAACGTTATATAGTACTGCGCATAAAGCTGTATTTATGATGATTTTATCTTGTCAACATTTGTGTTAATATTTTTATCTTCACTTTTTCTTTACCAGATGCTCAAGTATGGATGCACCGGTAAAACAAGTGTTGAACTTAAACAAAATTAAAGTGTGCATTTTCTCGACACTTTGTGGTGTCTAACTATGTTATACGTCAATTGGTGTTTAAACTTTCGACACTTCCGAAACGTATAGCAGCCGCACACCGCATGGTTCCCTTTTGACAGCATAGAACTGTGTGTGTCCAAGTGTGCAGAATTTTAACGTTACAAAACGTCTAAAATTTGTACACCACGCAAGTGTGCAACTCGAGTTAAACACCATGTAATATGCAAAATCACAACTTGCACACGTTTGGTGTGCAAATATTGCACACTTGTTTTACCAGTGTGTTTTTAAGCGCTGGCAGGATTTTCAAGAGAACTTGACACGGTGTGTGCCAATAATAACCCTCATTCCGATTTTTTGCATCCCCTGATTTGCTGTAAATATTTAGTTTTGTTCTCGTCAGTGTTCGTTGTTTGTGTCTGTTCCTGCAGTACGGGCGAAGAACATTTAACGGTGGCTTCGAATCCTGACTCCCCTGACCGCGGGCCACGGCAACAGGGCGTACCGAAGGGCTGCGTACGAGTTATGGAAAAAATCCGCTCTTTGTTATTTGAACGTCCTGAGGATTGAGAATGTTTGCCACTGAATACTGATCTGGTCCAGTGTAATTTGACGAGTTGCAATCAGATCCACTTGAACATTTCTGCAAAGTGGATATCTACTTCACACGTAGTTTACATTTCAGCGCATTTCAGAAAGAATAAAACAATTGTCGGTTTGTTAAAATTTTGACATACTGACGTTGTCTTTCCTTCTCCCGTTCCAACAGAACTACGAGCGATTACTCTGTGCAAAGAAAATAAATGCATGGCCTCGTGGGTCATAACGTTCCTCGAATTCCCTTCCCCGTGAAGTAAAAACGTGTGAAAGCTCGGACCGGACCACTGCATTCCTGGTCTCCCGGTCCCTCCAGGATGCCGCCGAGCGGCGCCCCAAGGCCGCCCAGCTGGCCGACGATGATCCCAAGCCCCCGGCCCCACCAATTCGCTGCAGATTTTCAAGGAAGAAAGTCGTTGTTTTCAAAAGTTGGGGCGTACCGGCGGTGGACGAGCCTAACCTAAAACTCCGTGTTCGCGAAAGCCTCTCTCCAAAGACTTTTAATTGGACGTCTTTTGTCGCCCCCACCGTTTGTTTTGGGGCTCCGGCTAAGAGGTGGCCGAATGCCGCCGCTGTCACCCACCTGAGGAGCGTCCGCAGTGCATTACATGCAATGGAGTCCTTCTCTCTCGCTCTCTTTCTCCTCCGCTCTTTCTTTCTCTCTGCGGACGCGTCCCCGC